TAAGATTACCAGGAAATTTGTGTTTCATAAATGGAAATTTGGTAACGCCTGAAGGCTCATACGGCGTTTTTCCTTAGCAAGGCAGTAGAGAACCTTTAAAGTGAGAGTACAGACATATCGGAGATTTCGAGGTCAGGTTATGGAGCTTTTAGGGCCCAAAAGAACAATCAACTTATAAATTCAAATTACCCAGAGTGAGTCATTATTACAATCGTTACGACCCCTCGCGTTGTTTTTAAAGCACGTATTTCACTCGAACAGTTGTTCGATGGCGCGATTATTCTAACGCGAGTTGGCATAATTGCACCAAACACAGTGCGGTCGGCGTGACACGCATTTAAGCGCCTACAAGACTGTAGGAATACTTCACGCATTGCCCCAAACACAGTGCAGTCGACGCGAAGCGCATAGCGCCTACAAGAGTGTAAAAATACCTCACGCATTGCGCGCTTTAATCGTTGAATCAGGCCCGCCACAAGGGGGAGGGGGATACTGGGTCCTTGGTACCGGGGCCCGGGTCCTGGAGGGGCCCGTGACGCAGGTGACAAACCACTACGAATTCATGTGTAACCCTTGTCTCGTAGGGAAAAGTGAAAAAATTACCCTAAAAATTCCGCAAAAGGTGAATAAAGTTTCAAAAACACGCTAGGGCACTATAAAATTTTTCTTACTTTTTTAGAGATTTTCAAGATTTCGAGTACATGTAGAATGATATTTTTAGTAACTGTGTTTCATTTTCTTCCGTTGTCGGATGCTAAGAGGCTCCTTTCTGGGCATCCTCGACTTCAACGGCTTAACTCCCTTGCCATAGACGTANTCCTCGTACCCAATGTGAAATAAAAACGTTGATATCTTCGTTAGGAGTTAGTTTCAGTCATTTTCGTTGCGCGAATCGTGTTTTGCGTGAAATTTTGGTTAAGAAACATGTATCAGAATCCTTTAATTCGTACCTTGTCTAGTGGTCCATTCCAAACACAGTGCGGTCGGCGTGACACGCATTTAAGCGCCTACAAGACTGTAGGAATACTTCACGCATTGCCCCAAACACAGTGCAGTCGACGCGAAGCGCATAGCGCCTACAAGAGTGTAGAAATACTTCACGCATTGCGCGCTTTAATCGTTGAATATTCGTAATTTCTCACCGTCCCGTCCGGTCCGTGCCACTCCGCGGTGCACACAATATCCGATCAGTGTGCATGTGCACCGCGAGCCTCCGACGTGAATGACGCAAGCTCCAATGACTTGTCGCTCCGATTCCTAGTGACAACTCTTCGTTCGTCATTGGACCTTCTCTCGTGATAATAATTTTACTAGTGGATATAGAAATAAAATAATAGGTATGATTTTGGAAAAACAAGTTAGAGAGAGATGTACCGTCGCACAGTGGATCGAGTTAATGAGAGAGGTCGGACATGACATTTTTGACTAAAATTGCAAATTTTGATGTTTATTTTGTCACATTTTAAATTTCACATTTTTTTTTAAAAAAAAGAAAGAAAAGAAAAAAACTCATGAGAGATTAGGAGACACTTTCTTGCATGAAACGACGTGACCTGGTTCTTTGAACGGAGCGGGAAAAGGGGAAATGACTCTGCTGAGGTGAGAAATGGCAACAGGGGCGTCGTGCCGAGCCTGAGAGCGGTAAATGAACTTGGCTCCTCGACCGCTCCGTCTCGGCTCTCGGATGCCGGGACGCAAAATTTTCCGTTCAGCGCTGCCAAATTGTGCCCGCAATCCGGCATTACATTATGAAATTTGATAAATTTTCAACGAGGCTGGCAATGTCGCATTGGCGATTCACCGCGGACCCGCCCTTGAATCCCTACCGGTCGGTGGCTCTGCCAGAGGCATTTTCAGTAGAGGCACGCGCCTTACGATCAGACTGAAAAAAAAGTTCTGCCATGTGAGCCCAAAGTTCGGTGCTCAATTTTTCACCAAGTTTTCGGTACATGCAATTGAAAGTTCGAATGAAGGAACGGAGCCTCTTCTTTCAATCTGGTATTTTAAAAGTTTGAAGCAGCTCGGTTGATATTGAGCACCGTGCTGCCGTGCTAAGGAAAAACGCCGTATGAACATTCGAGAGTTGCCAAATGTCCTCTAATTAAATTTTTATTTTTGATGAAAGTTATGCATATTTCCCCTTGAAATTTTCAGGGACTAAAGGTGAAATTGCGAACAAAATTATCTGAAAAATTCGAAGAAAAATCTTCATAAGTTTACTAGGAAATTCGTGTTTTAACAAAGGAAATTTGGCAACGCCTGAAGGTTCATTCGGCGTTTTTCCTCGGCACGGCAGCGTGCGTATGCAGAGGACATAGGACTCGTCACTGTTAAAAATTTCAGCGTCAAGTCCGGAATATGATTCACTTTGAAGCCTGTGTTGATCCCAAGCAAACGCGGAAATATACATCATCTATGCGTTTGGTCTATCTATGTACATCAACCTCATGGTGTCATCCACTTTCTTGGGCGAGTTAACTCCACTTCCAGGGAGTAACTTTGGCTGGTATAGAGTGGATCGACATGGATGGCTCTAAAAATAAAATTGGGAGGTTCTTACGGACTAAGGGAGAACACAAGGGACTGACTATAGGGTCCATCGTGGGTTGCCCGGTTGCCGTTGCGGCCCACTTGGTCCTTCTTCACGCACAAACTGGAGGTTTCAAGAAGGCTCGACCATGGAATTGTTGACTGTTGCCTTTTAAAGATGCTCGATCCGACGATGTTTGAAGGCGACCAATATGTTCGGAACACATCATAGATCGGATATTGAGACCCAAGTTTTCTCCTCTCATTTCTCTGGGATTTTCTTGCGAGAAACTATATGATTTTCCGGAGTTCCAGATATGAATGCGAATTTTTCCCCGTTTTCAGCCAATTCTTGGACCTATATTCAAATTGTTGATGCCATAAGCGTTCCTGACGTTTACATTATTTGGTCAATGGAAGTTTCTTTATTCTTATACTGGTTCGAAGATCCAAACACCGAAAAAAAAGTTACTTGCTATTTAGATGTACCGCCCATTCCGGGTTCAGATGCCGAAAGTTCCGGGTGCTAGAGCCGCAGCCTCAACTGCTCCAGATCTTTCGGACTCTGAGCCCGGCACGTAGACAGTATGTCTACATAGCCCCTAAGTACGGTTTCCACGGCCGGAGTTTTTTTTCAGTGAATAAGTAATTTACAAGATCACTAATGCCGACTTAGGTGCGATAAAATAAAACCCCAAAAACAATAGACACTAAAAATCTCGGCAGAATATGAAAACAAAATGCTTTTAAATTGGTCGGAGGTGAGATTCCCGGTTTCTGGAATAGCTTCCTTGATTCACTCCGAAATTTTTTCACAAAAAACAAAGAGGTAGGGGTTGTTGAATGGTACGAACATTTCAAATTAATTATGGTAGTTCCCCAATAAATTAGGTCAGGAACCCAAATGTTGCAGCACTACGACAATTAATTAGAAATTCCTATATCAACCAGCAAATTGGGGTAGTGCCACAATTTTAGGTAATAACCCCTGACACTCTTTTCCCATGTTTATTTCCTGGGACATCATTGTTGAAATGTATAGATAGAGCAATAGACAAAGAAGGAGGTCATACACTAACTAACGGCAACCCACGAGAGACTCGACAGTTTAGTCCTGCAGCATTCAACCCCTTGGTCTCTGCGAACCACCCGTTTCAACCAATAGGATCGCTCCGCTTCCCGTATGAATTATGTGTCTATCGCTTTGTCTATCACTTCCAAGGATGCGCCTGGAGATGAAGCCCGGCTGTCTCCGGTCCTAGACGCATGCCGTAAGGTCTCGTTACACGATCAAATTCCCGAACGAATTACCATCAAAGTGTCGGGAGTCATGAGTCTTAAAATCATTGATTTGCTTATAGTTTGAAAATGAAAACTTGGCAGAGATGTTTCGAGCGGCAGGAAAAGATGAATGGTGGCACTCTATTCTGATCAAAATTTGACGACCCATCCAATTTGGATGAAAGAGGACTGTTGCATGGTGAGCATAAGTCATCATCAAGTGGTCTACATTGATCAGAATGGAGATGTTGCATGTGTGAGGAATTTGCGATTTGACTGTTGAGTCTTAGGTAAAAATTCGCGAGAAACACGATGGTGCCACTGGTTTTCTCTGAAATCAATTTTCAAGCTCAAAAAAAGCTCTCAAGTTGAGGCCAAAATGAAGGGGATATCCCACGCTATCCTGAGAATCCACGTCTACATCAAGACAAACTCTCCATGCAAAGATAGGGAGCAAATACATTGACAGAACTGTCACTTAATTTGGGGGCTCTAAAACTGAAAACACGGCATCACTGTTAGTGTATTTGCTCCCTATCTTTGCATGGGGAGTTCGTCTTCATGTAGAGGTGGACTCTCAGGATAGCGTGGGATACCCCCTCCATTTTGGCTTCAACTCAAGAGCTTTTTGTGAGCTTGGGAGTTGATTTCAGAGAAAACCGGTGGCACCATCGTGTTTCTCGCGATCTTTTACATAAGCATCATCAGTACATACATAAAGCCGCTTTTATAGCGCCGCCTCGCGCTCTACGACGCCCAATCGCCATTGCCCCCTATCCTCCCAGAGATCATCAAGCAACTGGCACCTTCTGATCTCCTCCTCCACCCCTTGTCGCCAACCTTTCACAGGACGTCCACGCCGTCGCCTTCCGGGAGGAACCCAATCGAAGACCTGCTTGGGCAACCGATCATCTGCCATCCTTCGCACATGTCCATAGCAGACCAACTGCTTGGACCTAATACCGTGCACGATGTCCTTCTCCACACCCATTATCTCGCGTACCTTTTCATTGCGGATACGCTCTCTTCTCGATATCCGAGGAGACCTTGGCCAAAAGTCCATCTCAGTTGCCCTAAGCATGTCTTGAGAATCATTAGTCAACTGGCAAATCCCTGAGACATGCAACATCTCCATTGGTTGGGAATTTGATGGTGTGGTGGAGTGAGAAATAGGTTGATGGTGGACTTACCGACATGATGGTCTTCTTGATGCCGGAGGACTTCTCGATGAGGGAGCGTCGCCGGGCGGGGGGCTCGTCGCTGCGGGCCTTGAGGACGAAGCCGCCGCGGGAGTTGTCGACGCGGCGGTCCCGCTCCTGGGCGGCCTCGGCCCCGACGGCCAGGCTCCCGCCGGCCCCACTCCCGTTCCCGCCCTCGATGCTCCTCAGCGAGGTGAGCGAGGCCCGCAGGCTCTTGTTCGGCCGGTAGCGCGAGGCCAGCCCGAACGGCGCCGAGGCCCGCACCCCGTAGCCGTGCCGCATCCCGCGCAGCCACTGACCCTGGTACGTCCCTGCAATCACAACACTCACTCTTAGCTAAATATCATTACACACAAAAATAACACAGAGCACACAGCTAGAAGAAGAAGAAGAAGAAGAAGAAGAAGAAGAAAAAGAAAAAAAGTTCAGGTCACGCATTTCAAGTACTTCGGCACTTCCGTTCAAATTTCTGTGGAGTCAACGTCTGTACCGAGGTACTTCAGATGTGTTATGGAATGATTAGTCGTTTCGGTTTGGCTGTATCTCTTGGCGGCAAGCTCATGGAACGCTTTAAGGGTAGAGTCCCTTTATACTGAGAGTCAAGACAATTCGGCTCATGGATGTCACAAACGGGAATAAAGATTACAGAAATTGAACGTTTTTCGTAATCTTTGATCGGCCCATTCTCAAATGCCTTTCTCCGTTCCGCTCCGTTCCTCCTCTCATTCCGTTTGTTCCTTGCCGAACCCGTAATTCCCTGGTCCATTCCAGACTATAATCTTTGCAATTGGTAAAAATGTAATCTTTATTCCCGTTTGTGACACTGTGGAGGCCTAAAATACGGTAACCAATCAGAAATGGATTCAAATTGTCTTGACTCTCAGTATAAAGGGACTCTATTTAAGGGTAAGGCCTGCACTGCGAATATCGCAGGACCACGCACAGGGACATCAACAGCGACGGATCGCTGGATCCAACTGACTTGAGGAGCGATCTAGCCAGTTGGACAGTCTCTCTTCTCAGTGCTTTGCACCTGCTTCTATATTGTTCGGAGAGTCAGAATACTCGAGGACGTCGCCTGAGCAATGAAAAAATTGCCCGGTCGATGACACTCTAGCAATCCGACGTCATCGGTTAATATATACAGCCGTTGCAAAAACCTTGAACTCTCCTCTCATGACAGATGAGTGACCCAGTCCTTCCATCCCATGTCCGTTACAAGTTCTGGAATTCGGAACTTCTTTGTTCCAATTGGACGTATTTCTATCAGATAGAACTAAGTGCAGAGGGAAAGATGGGGTGTGCTCGTTGGTGCTCGGGCCATAGGAATGAACGGGAAAGATAAATTGCCAGTGACGTCAGCGGCCGCGACGAGCGAAACGACGATCGAGAAGGCGGCCTTTGACTCATGAGCCCTGTCCACAAGGCTCTAGATACATGCCCAGGCCCATGGCTCATTCACTGTGCACATAGTTCCGTTTGACAGAGCGTGAAATCCCGCTTCTCCAATTCAGCGAACGGAGCTGTGAGCCAACTAAGTGCGGCACCCATGAGCCGTGGGCATGTATCTAGAGCCTTGTGGATAGGGCTCATGAGATAGGCTCATGCGGGAGAAGTGCGGCGGCGGCGGCTACGTCACTGGCGCTTTATATTTCCCGTTCATTCCTATGGCCCGAGCACTAACGAGCACACCCCATCTTTCCCTCTGCACATGGTTCTCTTTGATAGAAATACGTCCAATTTCTCCCACTCAATGCCCGTTTTTGGATTTTTCAAAAGCTCCGAAGAAGTTCCGGAAAATGTAACAGATCCGGAACATTCCGGGAATTCCAAAAGTTCCGGGAAAGATTCAGGAGGATTTGAAAAGTTCCGAAGTGCGGAACTAGTTGCGGGAAATGGGAGCACTGGAGTGACCTGAACTTTGGCAGTTATCCCCTCAGATTTTCGGATGCACGACGGGAGCTCCAGAGATCCATATCAGTGGCGTGGCGAGCTTTACGATGTATAGCTTAGCCGACATCGGTTGGTCCAGTGGTTAGCGCAACTGATCACAGACCTAGATGTCCCGGGTTCGAATCCCGGCCTCGGTGGCAAGATTTGATGGTCTCATAGCTTAGCCGACATCGGTTGGTCCAGTGGTTAGCGCAACTGATCACAGACCTAGATGTCCCGGGTTCGAATCCCGGCCTCGGTGGCAAGATTTGATGGTCTCAGATCTTGTCACCGTGGAGTGGCATGGATGTTTCTCTTCGTTTCTTCCTTTGTACTTCTGTTTCTACTGTTGTTGTAATCTTCCCATCATTTAGCGGTGGCTGTTTGTCTACACGACTAAGGCCAATGAACTATACCTAGAGTGCGCAAGCTCTCAAAAAAGAAAAAAAAAAAAAAATGTATAGCTTGATCCGGCATTTGAACCTATAGAAAAGGATCGATAAGCAGGCACGGTGCTCCTGAACTCACTTTAAATGCGACTTTGTTGTACATCAAAAATTGAGGTTGGAGGTTGTAGTGGGGTACTCCCTGATGGGTTTTTGGGCAATTTCGAAATAGGTTGTCGGAGCTCCTGGAAAAATAATCGCATTTTTGTGGTTTTTTAGGGGTAAAATAGGAAAATTGGCCTCGGGGCGACAAATTAAACCCCCTCTCCCTCATCCTTGCCCTGACCGATCTGAACTTTTAGTATGTATTAACCTGGTATAAGATGTGACTTTTCTGAAATTTTCATGCCCATACAAAATGTTTTGCCCCCGCGGCAGCGTTGCCAAGTTGCGGACTCCAAAATGTCGAATTTGATGATAAAATGAAGGTTTCGAAGTGAGATTTCCATTCAATTTCAAAAATTCAAATCGCAGGTTGTAGTAGGGTACTGCCTGATGGGTTTTTGGCCAATTTCGAAGTAGAGTGTTTGAGATTTTTGAAAAATAATCGCATTTTTGTGGTTTTTTAAGGGTAAAATAGCACACTGGGCACGGGGCGGCAAATTAAACCTCTTCTCTCTAATCCTTGCCGTGACCGATCTGAACTTTTAGTATGTATTAACCTGGTATAAGATGTGACTTCTCTGAAATTTTCACGCTCATACAAAATGTTTTGCCCCCGCGGCAGCGTTGCCAAGTTGTGGACTCAAAAAGATCGAATTTGATGATAAAATGAAGGTTTCGAGGTGTGATTTCCTCCAAAATTTCACGAAAAATGTGCAGTCCTGAGAGTTTTCGATAAGGAAAAACATATTTGAACAATTTAGAGTTGCAGCGTTGCCAGCTTCACGATTTAAAATTCGTCAAAATGATCCGAATCGCGTTGCAACCTCAAGGTCTGGATTTTTATTTCGTTCAGAATTGGTCATTACGGTTCTTCTGTACTCTATGCATTTAGGTACCATGAAAATTATGCCATTACTCACTTGATGGGTGCAGCTAACTCAACAAGAGAGGCCGGATAAAGCGAAGATTCGGGGAAAAGCGAGCGGTTCGGGTTTACAGATAGTTCTCTTTACATGACACAAAATTTACAAAATATCTTTCATTTCGTTGTCTAGTCTACTTTTGTTATGAAGGAATTGATTTCAATAGAACTCAAAATAATTGTGATTTTTTGCAGATTTTTAATTCTTTAAGTTGTTGGAGGTAATTTTCTGGATTCGAACTGTCCAATACGCTGTGAGAGGAGGTCGAATTCGGGGACTTTCAAACCTTTTTGAATCGTCGTTTTGCACTCATTTGATTTATGTTTTAATTTTTCATGTTTTTGGGAAAAAATCGGGGGAGGGCAAAATTTTAGATGGAATGTTCAAAGTATGACAGCAGCAGGGGTAAGGTTTGAGGGTGGGAGAATGTTCTCAAATTCTACTTTCTGTTGATGGAGTAGATTTAAGAACTTTCTGTCAACCCAAACCGCTCGCTTTTCCCCGAATCTTCGCTTTATCCAGGTTAATACATACTAAAAGTTCAGATCGGTCACGGCAAGGATTAGAGAGAAGAGGTTTAATTTGCCGCCCCATGCCCAGTGTGCTATTTTACCCTTAAAAAACCACAAAAATGCGATTATTTTTCAAAAATCTCAAACACTCTACTTCGAAATTGGCCAAAAACCCATCAGGCAGTACCCTACTACAACCTGCGATTTGAATTTTTGAAATTGAATGGAAATCTCACTTCGAAACCTTCATTTTATCATCAAATTCGACATTTTGGAGTCCGCAACTTGGCAACGCTGCCGCGGGGGCAAAACATTTTGTATGGGCATGAAAATTTCAGAAAAGTCACATCTTATACCAGGTTAATACATACTAAAAGTTCAGATCGGTCAGGGCAAGGATGAGGGAGAGGGGGTTTAATTTGTCGCCCCGAGGCCAATTTTCCTATTTTACCCCTAAAAAACCACAAAAATGCGATTATTTTTCCAGGAGCTCCGACAACCTATTTCGAAATTGCCCAAAAACCCATCAGGGAGTACCCCACTACAACCTCCAACCTCAATTTTTGATGTACAACAAAGTCGCATTTAAAGTGAGTTCAGGAGCACCGTGCAGGGTGTTGGCAAGCAACACTTTAATAATCGATACTTTACATTACTTGGAATGGGAAGATATGAATAGTCGATCATTGACGCTTGGCCACTGATGCTCATGATCTGAACTAGGGGATCCGCGCGGGAAGTTTTGTTCTCTGTGAGGGGTGCACAATTTGCACCATCATCCGATCCGCGGATCGCGCCATCGCTGAGGAAATTTCTGGGAAAGTGAGAAGAATTCTGTCCAAAACGACGCCGGAAAAACATTTTCGGATCAATTCCGACGATTCATTGATTTATTTTACTTTTCGCGAGACGCTTTGAAAATTCGTGACGGGTACTCTCTCGTCTTAAAGAAGAACTCCATATGAGGCTCTAGATTTTGCTAGACTTTATTCAATAAAAAACGAATTTACTGAGAAAACTGTAAATACTCATATTCACATTTTTCGGACAATTTTGTTCTGAAGTATCTAAAGTATTCTAAAATATTTTAAGTATTTTTAAGTTATCTAAAGTATTTTAAGTATTTTTAAGTTATCTAAAGTATTTTAAGTATTCTAAGTCATCTAAAGTATCTGAAAATTTCGAAGAAAAATAAGAATAACTTTCCTCGAAAAGACAAGTTTTATACGGGGAAATTTGGCAACTCTCGAATTACTTAGCACGACAGTCTTGCGAGTCGTTCTTGAAAATTGCCACGCGCAAGTTTGAGGCTTGCGAGGAAAAACTTGCCCACTCCGGGGCAAGATTTTCCCGAGTATGAGGAAAGTGATGAGATTCAATTATTTTTTGGGTA